ACATAAAGTCAACAGAAAAACTTTTCAAGAATTGTATGAGTATCAAGTTTATTTATAGTCGAGAACCTATACGAGCAGGTACTTGTCTTTTTAAACAAAAAAAAAAAAAAGAAACAATCAAGGTCATGTGCACTCTACTTGAAATGAATTAATTGAAAGTCCGCCAGACAAACAGTCAGATGTTAATCATCACATCAATAGATACGCAACAATTTCGATAACTTATTTATTAAAGTAGTTCTGCCGATCATTCGAGAGTCATATCGACAAAACAAAAATAATGATATAAAATAAACAAAAAGCGTGTATAAATTATTTGAAACCAGTAGAGTGTCTGTACGATCTACAGACTGGTTTAAAATTCCATTTCATTAACTATTAGTTAGTTGTCTGTCTGTCGGTCTTAACACCCGTGTATGCAAAGTGAAGGATTGATTGTTTTTAATTTCGAATTCAATTTTCTCTTCCTGATAGTTAAGAATGAAATATGCTGTTTTGAATTTTGAAATAGAATATAAATTGGTAAGAATTATAAATTCAATAAATATTTAAATTATTAAAATTGAAAGTAGTTATATTTAGACAAAGTTTATTTTTTTATTTTTTTTTTGCATAAACTAGTTAAATTACTTTTTATAGAAATACCTGCCTCTTTTTTTAAAAATTTTCTATTGGTTCCTTGTTTTAACTAATTTTCATTTAAACTTGTTTTCTTGCATGATTAATGAATTTTTCACTCGTTAACTATCAACAAATTATTATCTAAAAAACAAAGAATTCTTAAGAAAATAAACGTGAATTTTTCGGTGATTTTTTTAATTCAAAAAAATTAAACTGTTGTTGGGATAATTATTAATATTTAAATTAGCATGATGCATACGTAAGTTTGCATATTTTACGTTTAAATATTTATGAGTCATTAAATGTCATTAAACGCGTTTTGCTTATTGTTTTATAAATAAAAATCGATAAAAATAAAAATGTATACATAACAAATAATAAGAATAATAACATTTTTGTTATTTTTTTATCATCTTAAACTTAAAATTCTAACCAAGCTTTAAATGTTTAATAATAAAGTTAATTAATAAATTTATTCAGGCTCAATTTTAAATTGCTTATAATATTCGAACATGTTTTTTAAATTAAAGTCTAATTTTGAAAAAAAAACAATGACTTTTGAATACATTTTATTCCTAGAAAACATAAATTTTGAAAATAACATTAATAAAAATTTTTAAATTTTTTGGTAAAAATATCTTCTTTGTCTGAATTTGTTTGTTTATTTACAAATTTTATGGCCAACAGACAAAAATAAACAAATTAAAAAGTCCATTTTTATTCTAGGTTTCCATTCTTGGGAATTTTTAAAAATAGTATTAAAGAAAGAGAACATTTTAATATGTCAATGCATATTTTGATAGATTTTGTTGTATTATTTAAGTAATTTAAACTATTATTGTTGTTTTTAGCATTATTGAATGCACGAATTGAATATTGTATAATTTTATAATTATTTGATAATTCCCCATTTCAAAAAAAAAAAAAAATAATAATAAACAAATTTTCCGGAATTTCCCACAAATTATTATCTGGTGCAATAACCTATTTTTTATTCTTTCTATTTAGTTTCAATCCTATAAATGATTTTCAATATCACAAGTCCGGATTAACGATTAAGATTATTACTTTACAATTTTCACTATATTTTTTTCATTAAAATTTTCCTAATTTTTTTTTATTAAAATTCGAATTTCCACAAAAAAAAAATATTTAATATAAAAACAAGTAAGAAAGTATAGTCGGGCGTGGCCGACCATAGTTATGAATATTAAATGTGATTTATTTTTCATAATAAAGCATTTATCTTCAATATTCCCTTGTTCCGATACATTTAAGCAATTTATGGATGAAAAACTTATTTTCTGAAAGAGGCTTTATATGGGGGCTAGGGGCAAATATGGACCAAGCCCGATAAAATTTTGTGAATATATTTATATTTACATAATATTTTATTGTGCTGAATTTCATCGCGATATTTGTGTTTATAAGTTAATTTGGGACATTCAAGTAATTTTCTAGGAGCTAGGGTCAAATGGGGCCCGATCTTTATGAAATTTGGCAGGGTCATCAAGACTTCTATAAAACTTAGTTGTGCCATATTTTATCGATATATCTGTATATTTAACATAATTATGAGCTCAGGAGCCCTTTTCGGGGGGTTCTGTTCTATGGGGGCTAGGTGAAATAATGGACCGATTTTAACCATTTTCAATGGGCTTCGTCCTTGGGTCAAATAAAACGTGCGTGCCAAATTTCATCCAATTATCTTGAAAATTGCGACCTGTTCCTTGCGCACAAGGTTTACATGGACAGCCAGCCAGCCAGACGGACGGACATAGCTTAATCGACTCAAAAAACGATTCTAAGCCGATTGGTATACTTTAAGGTGGGTCTAGGACGAATATTTTTGTATGTTACAAACATCAGCACAAATCCAATATACCCTCCCTACTAAAGTGGTGTAGGGTATAATTAAAATTTTACTAAAAATTAATTTCACTTTAAATACAAATTTCAAATTTTAGTAAAGTTTTAATAAATTTCTTGTTTTTTTCCATTTAAATATTTTTCTTAAATTACCAAACACGTGATAGGTTATATCGATAGAAATCTCTATTTAAATTCTATAAGGATTTCGCTTAATATCGAATGTATTCGTTTTTCAATAACAAGCCATAAAAACTATACAAATGATGTTCGAATTTAATTTTTTTTCAAAAAGCTTATATTCTGAGCACGTACCTTAAAATGTTATAAAATTCATAATGTTGAATTAGAACAGAACTAGAACTGAACTAGAACTGAACTAGAAATGAACTAGAACTGAACTAGAACTGAACTAGAACTGAACTAGAACTGAACTAGAACTGAACTAGAACTGAACTAGAACTGAACTAGAACTGAACTAGAACTGAACTAGAACTGAACTAGAACTGAACTAGAACTGAACTAGAACTGAACTAGAACTGAACTAGAACTGAACTAGAACTGAACTAGAACTGAACTAGAACTGAACTAGAACTGAACTAGAACTGAACTAGAACTGAACTAGAACTGAACTAGAACTGAACTAGAACTGAACTAGAACTGAACTAGAACTGAACTAGAACTGAACTAGAACTGAACTAGAACTGAACTAGAACTGAACTAGAACTGAACTAGAACTGAACTAGAACTGAACTAGAACTAATAATTATTATTTATAGTAATATTTATAAAAATTTAAGTAATTTTTCTTAGAAATTATAACCAAATAAGAAAACTTTTTGAAATGACTAATTTTCGCTATATTTATTTAATATGTTTAACTTTCAGATACATTTTTGTTTCTCAGGAACTAGTTAAAAGACTTTTAAATTAAAAACAAGTTTAAACATGCATACTTGCTTTCGAAGCTTGCTAAAATGAAAGTGGATAAAAAATAAACATATTCACTAATTTATCAAAAAAGTTAAAAAAATATTTTAATATTCTAGTTAGTAGTCAAGCAAAACACTTGCCTAATATTTTATAGCAAAAAAAAAAAAAAAAGAGAATTTAGTACCTACCTACCTACCTACCTACTAATTTGTCAAAATAACGCCGAATCGTCAAAGTTGGCAGCGAGCAGTGTTGATGTTTTTGTCTTCATTGCAAAATTTTATTTTTTTGCGTTTTTGTTATTGTTTTTTTTTTTTATTTATTTTTCACCCATTTATATTTTTAGATGCACATGGTTTTTGCAAACAAAAAATAGTTTTTATTTTAGTATAGTATTTTTTTTCTTTTGTTTTGTAAATTTTGTTGTGTTTTTTCTTCTTATTTCATTCAACTCTTCAATGCATTGACATTGTACGAGTTCATTGCCAAGTTTAAATTAAAAATCGAATAAGAATAAAATAATAAAAAAAACTAAATGACATAAACGAAAAGAAAAAACTAAAACAGATCGAAAAATTGCGTACAAAAGACCCATCAACCAACCAAACTAGAAAACAATTGTGTCGGGCCTATAGTGTGTTGAGTATAGTATGTGGAAGTGTAGGTAAACAGTAGTGATGGTTGGTTAATTTAATTTGTTGGATGGGCTTAAAAATAAAACTAGACTTGGTACCATTTAGACTGACTATGTGCTATTATTAGTATTATTAGAGTGTTTTATTTAGCGGCAGTTTGTTGCCATGAATTTTTGTATTTTGAGAGACAATACGGAAGCATTTAACGATGATGATGATGAGTAATAAATCGTTATTGTTTGTTTTATGAATATTTTTACATAAGCCGCCTTTATTAAGTTTGTAGTTAATGTCATTAAACTAAATAAATAATAGGAAACCCCCCAGGTGTTTCGAGTTACACTTTGGGAAAGAAGCTTTTTCTTAATATGGATTTTCTAGTCGTTAGAAAATCTTATCTTTTGTGTAGATTTCATTGTTTAGCAAATAAATTTAATTGTTTGTTATAGTAATTTCAAAAACCCCATTAATGTAAAATTAGGGAAAATCTTATAAAATACTTTTAAAATGTCTATTTATTTTACTAAAAATGTGGGTTTTTTTCTGTAGAAAACACTTTGCAAACTTTTTCCGCTGTTTAAACAACAATTCAAGTAAATTCCCTGGAATTAATAATAGACATAAACAAATTCTTTAAACAATTCTATAAATATTAATTGTTATCAAAAAGTACCAATTGTCTTGAAGTATTTATGGAGAATAAATATTACTTTTCCTTTTTTGTACAAATTTAAGGGGACTTTTCATAAAGAAAAGGTTTCTTTCTTATACTCTTCCTCAAAACACGCAAATTTTATAAATGTTTTTCTTTAAAAAAGTACTTCTTTGGATTTGTAAAGAACCTACAAATATTAGCATTTATAAGCTGACATCATAGCCCCTCCCCGGGGGGAATTATGCTGCCACATCAACTAATTTCTTATCCTTTCTTCTTCCTTTCAGAATGCTCTCAATGGCAGATCAGCTTCAGAGATTGCAATGCTTATATCGTCAAAAGTTAGTGGAGCCACACCCCTGGTTATATCCTGCCGCAATGGACACAGTGAAATTGTAGAATATTTATTGACATGGTGTCAAGCTGATGTTGAACAGGTCGGCTCCGTTAGTTTCGATGGTGAACCAATTGAAGATGCTCCCCCACTCTGGTGTGCTTCGGCTGCCGGCCATTTGGGCATAGTAAAGCTATTAGTTAGACATGGCGCCAATGTTAATAGTACAACACGTACGAATTCAACACCTTTAAGGGCGGCCTGCTTTGATGGACATTTTGAAATAGTCAAATTTCTAATACACAATGGAGCTGACTTTGAGGTAGCGAATCGTCATGGCCATACTTGTTTAATGATTGCCTGCTATAAGGGACATTTCAAAATTGCACAGTATTTATTGTCGTTGAATGCGAATGTCAATCGTTGCAGTGTTAAGGGTAATACCGCCTTGCACGATTGTGCCGAATCGGGTTCTTTGGAAATTTTACAGTTACTTTTGAAACATGGTGCCACAATGGAGGTGGATTATTATGGCATGACACCTCTGCTGGCAGCTAGTGTTACCGGTCATTTGCCCATTGTAGAACATCTCATCACATTGCCCAGTGTTAGTCGTGAAAGTCGCATTGATGCTTTAGAGCTATTGGGTGCCACATATGTGGATAAGAAACGTGATATGGTTAGTGCATTGTCATTGTGGAGACGAGCCATGGAGGAACGCAATCAGGAGCCAAAGATACCCAAAGTAGTGAACGAGCCCATTGCGGCCTACGAGTATGTATCAGAAGTGACAACAATTGAGGATTTAGAAGAGCTGGTTTTGGATCCGGACGAAATGCGTATGCAAGCTTTGGTCATACGTCAAAGAATATTGGGTCCAACACATCCCGACACAAGTTATTATATACGTTTTAGGTAAGTATAACTATCTTATATAATAAATAATACAAAATATATTCAATTTTTGTTTCTCTTGCAGAGGGGCCCATTATGCCGACGCAGGTCGTTTTGACCGTTGTATTGATCTTTGGACTTATGCTTTAACTATGCAACAAAAAATCTTACCACCCCTCAGTCCTATGACACAGTCTTCTCTTTTGTCTTTTGCCGAATTATTCAGTTTCATGTTGATGGAAGCTGGACGCTTGCTGCCTCGTGGTCGTGTGGTGCCACCCATTGAGGCTTGCGATATGCTTATGATTTTCAATAAGGCTGTCTTGGAGGTTGAGAGAGGTTTGTCAAACTATCAAATGCTACAATCAGGTGCAAACGTCTCCTCCTCACTTGCAGGACAAAGTTGGTCGGTGGAACAGCAGAAAAGTGCCGCTACATCAGCGCAGCAACATCAGCAGACAACGCAACAAACATCGACACAGTCTCAGCAGCAGCAGCAGCAGTCACAGCAGACTGTTACAAATGTTCACGATTGCAATCATGATCCCAATGCTTTAAGTCGCGCTCTTGTTAGTGCTTTACATATTGGTTGCCTATTGGCCTGGTTGGTCGAAGATGAGACTTTCTGTCCGAAAATGCGCCGTGATATTTTGGTGGCGCTTTATAAGTTAAATCGTCTTAATGTGGCGGTGCGTTCGGGTCGCACAGCTTTGCATTATGCTTGTTATAGGGAGGGAACTCTTGTTGGCCGGTATCCGGCTTGTCAGTTTCCTTCTCCATCTTTGGCTAAGGCTTTATTAGAGGTTGGTGCCGATCCCAATGCAACCGATGATGGTGGTAATACGCCTTTACATTTAGCTGCTATTGCCCAGCCGTGTCAAAAGGATATGGCAAAGATTTTACTGGATCATGGGGCTCATTTGGTAAGTTAGGTTTGCATTTTATTGAAGATCTAATTTGATTCACTTTAAAAAGTCCAAAAATTTGGTATAAAGAAATTTTTAAAACAACATTTTTTTACTTATATTTTTCTTTGTTTCATTCTTTACAGGATGCCCGTAATAATGCTGGTGACACATTTGAATCTCTTATAAAACCCAAGAAAATCCATGAAATCTGCAATCCACTCAAATACACCACATTGGCCTGTCTAGCAGCGAAAACCATACAAAAACACAACATCAAATATGACTCAGTGCCCACAGCTCTACATAAATTTATAGAGATTCACTAAATCTTGTCGTTTTTGACTGCAGCTGTAACAAGCAGTAACAATTGAAATGAAACGAAAGAAAAAAAAAAAACAAAAAAACAAAAGCAGAGGTAAAACAAAAATTGTCCTTATTTTTTGTGTTTCCTGTATCCTGTGTTGGCTGTTTTAAGCAAACTTTAGCGTACTAACTCAATTATTAAAACGAACCTCCCAAAAAAACAAAAAACAACGACTATATTTATACATTTATATATACATTTAAAAATATTCCTGTTTATTTTTAAAAATAATAATTTTCCTACGCTCTCTCTCTCTTTAAAAAAGAGTCACGAAGTTGCAATCAACGAATTATTTTTCTAAACAAATCTATTACATACATACACACACACACAGTTAACATAAAGAATTTCTTTTTTTCTTTAGTTGTTGACAAAGAAAATTGAAATTTTGTATTCATAAATGGGAAATTCATTCTTTTACTGCTGTCTCCTAAAACAGCTTCCAATTCTACTCACTCCTTCTGTATAAATGTTTTTAAGTTTGTATATTCTATTTTTATATTATTTGTTTATTTGTATTTTTTTTTATTAAATTTATTATTATTTGTTCCAACAATCATTTGCAACAGTAGCGAGTGGAGAATATAAGCAGCAGCAATACTTTATAAAAGGCAGACATTAGGCCACAACAATACCATGTAAATACCCATAAACAAAAATAATAATAATACTAAATAATATGAAACCGATATGAATTTAAATTTGCTTTAATGCAATCTTAAACCCATTCAAAACGATTCAATTACTATTGAGTATAGAAAGTAATGACAGCAATAGGACATTTATTTGTTTGTTTGTCGTTCTTTTTTTCGCTACAAACAAAAAATTCGTTTCATAATGTAATCATCGTTCGTATTAACTGTAGATATTTAACTAACTCTCTATCTCTTGGAACTGTTTATCATTAGTCTCTACTCTTAAATATCTTAAATTTAAATTTATAACATAAACAAAAAACAAACATACAATGTATTAAACAAAAGTATATAAATATTTAATTATTAAATTTAGCAAACGCTTTGTGTTTCAATAGTATATAAGTTAGCTAGAGCTCTAGAATATGTGGTGTGACCCTAGTGCACTCTCAAACACATTCTATCCACATGCATAAATTGCTATTTTGTGAAACAGAGTCAGCTCGTTCATATTTAATATCATATAAAATTACCACGATAATAATATTTAAAAAAAAAGTAAAGAAAATATTAATATATTACACCTGCCCCTCTACAAAATACGCTACAACTATGCAATATTTACTACATCCCCTCAAATTAATTAAATTAAATTGAAATGTTTGTATATGTGTATGTGTAGTTAGGCGTCTTGGCAGGTGTATAATATGTAGTTCTTTCTTTTTGTTTTCTCTTAATAATCATAATTTTTAATAAGCCTAATATTAATTATAAATAATAATACTACGTATGTGTAATGATAAACGATATTTTATAAGTGTGTATTAGTTTTTGAAACAAATTTAGCTAAAAGTCGAATTTGGCTCCCCCATTTTTTCCTCTTAAGAGCCAATTTTGGGGGAGAGCAGGCTTTTTTTAAGATGTCTAAAAGATTAAGTTTAAAAAAAGGTTTAGTTTTCTTTTTCTAATTATTAAGACAAACAAAACTATAACTAGAATAAAAAAATTTATGAAAAAAAAAAACATTGATGACGTTTGTTTGTTATTTTATTTCATTCATTTCATTTACATTTATTCCTTTACATTTTTTATGCACATTTATCATTTCTTTATGTTACAGACACCAATGGTGTAAGCATTGTATACTTACGTATTAATAAAGGTAAGTTATTTGGCTCAATTTTTTTTCTCAATAATTTAAAATAATGAAAAATAAATTAATATAAGAGTTCAACATTAGAATTAGGTCAAAAATTTACCAGACTTTATATAGTCTTAATTATAGGTAAGACTGTCTAAACAATAGTTTATACATACTATCTTACGTATATACCCGACAATTATAGATCAGACTGTATTAACTATAAAGCAGACTATAATCTTATTTGTAGTCTCACTTTATCCAGACTATACTCATAATTGTAGTCTTAACTGTAGTCCAAATTATTGTTTTAAATATAGTCCACATTATAGTCCTATAGTGTCTAGTCTTAACTATATTGTAATGACAAACGATATAAAATAAGTTTTTCCGGAGATAATTTATTTGATCGGTCACAGTCTATAGACTAGTTCAAACTATGGTCTATATATTCCAAACTAGTGTCCAGTCTATAGTCCAGACTTTAGTTCAGTATATAGTCTAAACTATAATCCAGTCTATAGTCCAGACTATAGTCCAGACTATAGTCCAAACTATAGTCCAGCCTATAGTCCAGACTATAGTCCAGTCTATAGTCCAGTCTATAGTCCAGACTATAGTCCAGTCTATAGTCCAGACTATAGTCCAGACTATAGTCCAGACTATATTGACTAGACTATAGTCCAGACTATATTGACTAGACTATATTGACTAGACTATGTATAGTCCAGGCTATATTCCAGACTATAGTCCAGTCTACAGTCCAGACTATAGTCCAGTCTGTTGATATTACGCAGTATTTGCAGAGATAATATTCAAAAGTAAAAACGCGCGTCCTTTCACATAAGATTAATTTTATTAATAGATACATAAAATATAAATGTCAAATATTTACAGAGTTGTTATATAATGAATAATAATAAAAGTTGCCAGATAGTTTAGAAATTCATTTTCATATTCCAACATCCTCACTAAAATGAAATCCTAAACCATTCCCAACTGATTCACGAATTTCAAAAATTTCATCTTCACTAGGGGTTTGGTTAGTAAATCTGCAATCATGTCATCTGAGGCTATCTTCTTCAAAACTACCTTTCCATTAAACAAGCAGTCTCTAATAAAGTGATGACGAACATCTATGTGCTTCGTTCTGGGATGATAGGATTCATTCATGGCTAACTGTGTTGCAGCATGGTTGTCGCAAAATATCTTAATGGGCTCAGTCTGTTCTCCAAATAGTTTCTCTTCAAAACCTTTCAACCATATGGCTTCTTGAACTGCTGCACCCATTGACATGTATTCGGTTTCACATGTAGATAACGCTGTTGTGTTTTGTTTCTTGGATGTCCAAGTAATTGGCGCTCCCTGTTTCATAAATACATAGCCGCTTACGGATTTTCTCTCATCCAAGTCACCTGCATAATCAGCATCGCAATAGCCTTCTAATTTCAAGTTTCCATTCTTAAATATTATTTTGTAATTTATCGTGCCCTTTAGATAACGCAGAATTCTCTTAGCTGCTTGCCAATGTTGCATACCATAATTGTTGTTGAAACGACTCAAAAAATTGACTGCATAACATATATCGGGTCTTGTTAATTGTGCTGCGAATAACAAACTTCCAATAAGCTCCTGGTACGGGTATTTCTGCATTTCCAATTTCTCCTCTTCGCTTTTAGGACATTGCTCTTTACTTAACTTCACGTTCACATCCATTGGGGTAGATACCGGATTACTTGTTGTCATTGAGAAACGCTGTAGAACTTTCTGAATATACGCTGACTGATCTATTGTCAAGCAACCATTTGTCCTCTCAATGCGTAGTCCTAGAAATGATTTAGCACTTCCTAAATCTCGGAGTTTAAATACATTCTTCAATTTTTCAATTAATAGATTCTTCTGCTGTTCGTTGTTCCAAAAAATTATTATATCATCCACATAAATGGCCAATATGAATATGCTATCGTCTTCAATTCTGAAATAAATACACTGATCACTTTTCAACTGCGTCAGACCAAGATTTCTTAGTGTGTCACTCAATTTCAAATTCCACATTCTGGACGATTGCTTTAAACCATATATTGGTCTATTCAACTTTAACGTTTTACCATCAGGGATTTCAAAACCTTCAGGTGCCTCTATAAAAATCTCTTCCTCCAAATCACCCTGTAGGAAGGCAGTGCATACATCCAAATTATTTATTTCCAAATTGAATTCAACAGCTAACGAAAATAAATATCTCAATGAGGAATACCTTATAACCGGCGAATAAGTCTCGTTGTAATCTATATTGGAACGTTGAGCACAGCCTCTTGCCACCAGTCGAGCCTTGTAGCGATCGACATTACCATGTTCATCATGCTTTAATTTAAATATCCATTTCGTAGAAAGTTTTCTTTCATTGCCGTTGCAATCTACAATGCTCCATGTGTTATTTTCTATTAATGAATTAATTTCATCAGTGATCGCAGCTTTCCAAAATTCTCTTTCTTTGCAGTTGACAGCTTCGACAAAATTTTGTGGCTCTACTATTGCACCTATAGCTGCATATGTTACAAAATCGTTCATATTAGTTGGTCGGGATATTCTCGATGAACGCCGGAGAGTTTGAACCTCGTTTACCTCCTCACTTTCTTCCGTAACTTCGCTAGATGTAAAACCAAGTAGTTCATCCTCATCATCATATTCCGAGTTGTCTTGTGGTTCCTCAATAACAGAATCATCATTGGAATGATTGGAATTTTCCTCAAGTATCATCCTCACTAAATTACCATCATTCAATGATTGAGATCTCTCAATTAACCGACCATTATCTATAACTGGGGCTTGGTTCTTCGCAAAATACATCTCATTTTCCATGAATACTGCATTTCTACTTACATGCATTTTCCTTGATATTGGATTGTACAGCCTATATGCCTTCGAAAATTCACAGTATCCAAGCATTATACACTTCACCGATCTAGGATCCCATTTCTTTCGCAACTGTTTTGGTGTCATCATCATTGCCACGCATCCAAAGACCTTTAAGTATGATAAGTTCTGTTTACGGCCACTCCATACCTCCTCAGACGATTTTTCATTCAACATTTTGTGAGGTGTTCTATTTAATAAATAAGCTGCCGTACTTATCGTCTCAGCCCAATAACACTTTCTCAAACCAGCGTCATACAACATGGTCCGCGCTTTTTCAACTATGGTTCTGTTCATTCGTTCAGCTTTTCCATTCTGCTGCGGGGTATATGGTGCTGACGTTTGATGAACTATACCGCTATTTTCACAAATTTGCCTGATGTCTTTGTTGCAGAACTCTAAACCATTATCTGAACGGAATATTTTAATCTTCCTATTCGTTTGATTCTCCACCATCTCCTTAAATATTTTAAATTTTGCCGGAACCTCGGATTTGTGCCTCAATATGTAAATAAATACCTTGTGGGAATAATCATCCAGAAATAAAAGAAAATACAGGCCTCCACCCATTGATGGCTCCTCCATGGGACCGCATACATCTCCATGTACCAATTCAAGAACATCGTTCGTTTTACTAGTCGATGATTTGAAACGTAAGTTTGTTTGTTTGCCCTGTAGACAGGAGATACATTTCTCATTTTTCGATTCGCCCTGCTCGCAAAAATTATCCTCTAAGCATTTATTCATATAACCAGGATGGCCCAATCTTTTATGCAAAAGCTCCTTCGAAACACCAGCAAAATTTTCACGCGCTGTGTAAAGATCCAATTGATAAACATCTCTGTAAAGAGTACCAGTGGCTATAATTCTTTCACCACACCTAATGAAACAGCTTTCACTTGTAAACTCTATTTCATAACCTTTTTTAACCAATTGACTCACAGATATCAAATTCGTACAAATATGTGGCACGTAAATAACATTCTCAATTGTCGCATCAATCATTTTGTTGTCCACATTTAATTTTACAACAACATCATCTTTACCCAATGCCTTTAAACTACAATTGTTTGCAACTACTACACTTTCATCCATAGAAAATTCCATAAAGTATTTAAAACAATTTCTATTATTCGTCATATGGGTCGTAGCGCCTGAATGAATCAACCAAGACTCCCCATTGTAAACATACTGCGAGTTGAACGCCGCTGTCAACGTTGTAGCATTCGAGTTTCCAGCCTGGTTGAATTTTTTAGACTTGCAATTTTTCGCCATGTGGCCTTCTTTCTTACACTTAAAACAAACAATGTTTTTCTTCTTGTTCGCATCCTTAGTTTTTGTAAACTTTTGTCTGCTGTACAATGCTGCATCGGATGACGTCATTGCACCTGCCGAGTTGTTGTAGTTGTCAAAATCTTGCAATAGTTTTGTCTTTATTGAATCCGTTGTTATTTCAATATTGCTGCTCTCTATTGCCATAATCATTGGTGTAAAATGATCCGGTAAACCACTCAGTAACAAACTGCCTACACATTCATCGCTCACAACCATTCCTATTTCGTTTAGTTTCTGCGCTGTAGCTATTATTGTATCGACATATTCGCTGATATTCTCACAATTCACCAAATGTGTAGTCGTTAACTTTCTCAACAAACCGCAGCGTCTTGTCAGACCGGAGTCATCATATGTTGATTTCAACTTATCCCACATCTCTTTAGCTGTTGCTATTCCCTGGATGTGTATATACAAATTCGGTGAAATATACAGCAGTCTAGACAGCGCTTTCTCCTGAACATCGGTTTTTGTTTCAGTACCCAGAATTGCCTGCCAGTAGCCTTGAAGCTTTAGTGCATGCTCAGCAGCAAATCTCCATCTATGATAGTTATCTCTGCCCGTTAACTTTTCTATTTCAATAACTCGCTCCATTTTGCGCACCTGGGCCCATAACCTGTTGATATTACGCAGTATTTGCAGAGATAATATTCAAAAGTAAAAACGCGCGTCCTTTCACATAAGATTAATTTTATTAATAGATACATAAAATATAAATGTCAAATATTTACAGAGTTGTTATATAATGAATAATAATAAAAGTTGCCAGATAGTTTAGAAATTCATTTTCATATTCCAACACAGTCTACAGTCCAGACTGTAGTCCAATCTATATACCATACCAGACTAGTGCAGCCTATAATGCAGCCTATAGTCCAGTTTATAGTGCAGCCTATAATCCAGCCTATAGTCCAGTCTATAGTCAAAACTATAGTCTAGACTATAGTCCAGCCTATAGTCCAGTATATAGTCCAGACTATAGTCCAGTCTATAGTCCAGACTATAGTCCAGTATATAGTCCAGACTATAGTCCAGTCTATAGTCCAGACTATAGTCCAGACTATAGTCGAAACTATAGTTCAGTCTACAGTCCATACCAGACTATAGTGCAGCCTATAATCCAGCCTATAGTCCAGTCTATAGTCCACACTATAGTCCAGTATATAGTCTAGACTATAGTCCAGCCTATAGTCCAGACTATAGTCCAGTATATAGTCCAGACTATAGTCCAGTATATAGTCCAGCCTATAGTCCAGTCTATAGTCCACACTATAGTCCAGTATATAGTCCAGACTATAGTCCAGTATATAGTCCAGACTATAGTCCAGTATATAGTCCAGACTATAGTCCAGTCTATAGTCCAGACTATAGTCCAGTCTATAGTCCAGACTATAGCCCAGTCTATAGTCCAGACTATAGTCCAATCTATAGTCCAGACTATAGTCCAGTCTATAGTCCAGTCTATAGTCCAGTCTATAGTCCAGTCTATAGTCCAGTCTATAGTCCAGTCTATAGTCCAGAATATAGTCTAGTCTATAGTCCAGACTATAATTATTGCAGTAGTCCACACTTTAATTAATTTTAGCCTAAAGATAGTTCAGATTATAGTCTTAACCGTAGTCCAAACAATTTAATTAATAAAACATGGAATTGTTGAGTTAACCAAAATATGTACGGTCCCTAATATTAAAAGTTTGCTCACCTCTGTAAAATAGTAAACGAGCTTTAAATATTTATAATGCTTTTATGGCCAACACATGGTCGTATAAATGCTCTTAGGTTTTATACAACTTTTTTTAGCTCTTTCAAATTCTAAGAAATCCTGGTCAATTTGTATATTCTAAAGGTTAACAGAAAATATAGAGTACTGCCACAACATAATATCAACTTTTTCTCTTTATTAAAAATATCTTTTAAAATTACCTTGGTGAAAAAATACCCGGCAAAAGGTATTTTCAAATACAAAACAAAGAGGAAGTTAAAGGGAAGTTTATGAAAAGCTTTAACAAAATAAAGAGAGATTTAAGGGAGAAATATCTTGGCTAAATTTCCAATGGAAATTTATAGATTAAAGCTCTTAAGGAAATAGAATGAAAGCTTTCTTTACTTTTGGCTTACTCTTACTAAATGTAAGGTTATGGTTTGTTAAATAATATGTTTGGTTTGTTTATTATTTACAGTTAGTTTTATTTAAGAGAGTCTTTTGGAGAGTAATTTCCTTGCTCTCGTTTTGTTTGAAAAAAATGAACTTTTTGCCTTGGTTCTAATATAGAGTTGTGTTCACACACATGTTGGATTTTTCCATTTATTTGGTAAGTTTTTGAAAGAAATCAGAAAAGAGCTTTTTGAGCATTAACATTTGGACGTTGTTGTTATCATTAGAACCAGCTCACTTTCCATTTCCATGCAAACTCATGCAATATTTTTCATCCCTTCTGGCAGTGTTTCTAGTTCAATTGTGTAGTAAAGACGTCTCGCCTAAAAACGGATTTTCGTTAAAGTATAAATTTTTAAATGAAAAGTGTATGACCACCACAATATTTTAGTCATTCACTTAGTCAAATGTGGTAATTTTATTGTTGTGTGTGTGTTTTTTTTAAAGAAAAATACTTAATATTGAAAAAATTTAAAAAAAAAATCTCTCAGACTTATTAAAGTTACAAAAAATTGGAAGGAGATAATAAACGGAATTTAGAAAATTTTAATTGAATTAATATAGAAAAATAAGTGTAATACAAATAAATCATTTGCAAAACAGATTTTGTTGCCTATGTTAAGGCGTTACGTTATAATAAAATAACAAAGAGCAGAGAAAATTCAGAAGATAGGCTGTCTGTCTGTTTTTTTCTTCTTTGCAACGTGTAGGCACGAATTGTTTATGAATAAATTATTTAAAAAATACAAAATTTATTTAACAAAACAGTTTTAAGCAAACATGTATAACAAATTATAAATTAAACAAAATGTGAAAAATTTATAATTCATGATTAAAGAGATAAGGAAAAAAACGTAAAGAAATTAAAAGGAGAAGAGTAAAAATTCTATTTAAAAATATTCCAAGGGCATACAATTGTCAACAACCAACCATAACTACTAACTGCAGTTGTAGCAGTCAGTGATATAATTAAAGTAAAAACCAAAAAAAAAATGTGAGATAATAATATGCTGCAACAACAAACCAGTGTTAAATACTGTTAAATGAAAAGGAAATAAAAAAAGCAAAGTATATGTTAAGGGGCGTTTAAAAGAAAAAACATATACAGTTTAATACGCCATTTTACTACTAACACAACTAAATTTTAATACTGAATGTGTGGAAATAAATCTATATTAGTGTTTGTTGTAAACGTGTATATATGACAGTATTTATGAAAAACGTGTGTTTACTTTACCACAATCGATAACTTACTGAAGCTTAAAATATTAGCGGCTGTAAAACCCACAGTTAGCTATTTACAGCAAAATAATCTCAAGCACTGCCTTCCTTGGCAGCTGCCAACTACTAGTAACCATAAAACATTGTGAAAAAAATGTATTTATAAAAAGTTGAAAAAACGTGTGTGTTTGTAAAAATTTTCCAGCTTTAATATTTCTAAAGAAAACACCCAGAAGAAGCATAAAATAAAGCAAAATTATACAAAAAAAATCTAATAAGAAAAAGTTGCTCTGTATGTAGTGAGTGTATGTGTGTGGAAAAGAATTCTTTAAAATACTTTTGAATTATTAAGAAATGTTGGCAAATGTATGTCAGCCAACCAACCAGCCACAACGGATTACAACGAAACCCACAAAAACAACAAACAAACTTTGCTGCTGCTGTTGTTGTTGTTGTGACGCCATTGTAATTAAGGATATAACTCATATTCAGCACAAACAACAACTACAACATTAAGAACATAAACAGAGAACTGCAGGTAGTTATGAAAACATTGTTGTATTTAATTTTTCTCTTGTTTTTGCTTTAATACAATTTTTTTCGTTGGAATTTTGCCAGTCAGAGTTTATTTAAGAAAATACCTTATTTTGTCAACTTTAATTTTAAAGGAATTTGTAACATTTTAAACTTTTTTTGATAAAATTTATTTCAAAAAATTCTTTAAATCGTTACGTGTTAATTCTTTTGAAGATTTGTATAATGACTTAAAGAAAGTCATAAAATACCTTTCAAAGAGAGTTAAATTAACTGTTTCTTGGTAGTATTTTGATGTTACTTAAGGTACGTTCACACCTAATAAATATTTGGTTAAAAAGACATAAGACACTATTTATTCTAATTTTTTTTTTTTTGATCTTACATTATTTTTTAATTGCTAACTAGGTATAGAAGCAAAGTTAGCTATCTCCATTTCATTCCTGATCTAAACATCCAATAATGTCAATTGGCTATATTTGTTTAATATTAGTGATCTGTCCAAAACATCAATTTACGTTTAGTTAATAAATAGCAGAGAAAATAGTCTGTTTTCTTAGAGTTTGATATGTTTTATTCGTGAGAATCGATTTAGCGATGTCTGTCAATATGTCCGTCTGTTTGTCTTTCTTTCTTTCTTTCTTTCTTTCTTTCTTTCTTTCTTTCTGTCTGTCTGTCTGTCTGTCTGTCTGTCTGTCTGTCTGTCTGTCTGTCTGTCTGTCTGTCTGCCTGTCTGTCTGTCTGTCTGTCTGTCTGTCTGTCTTTTTGTCGGTCTGTCTGTCTTTTTGAGGACCCCATATATCTTCAAGATCCTGATCTTTTTCAGTTCTATAATACATGCTATCGCGAAGTTTGAAGATATATACAGAAGTGACTTTTTAGATTTTGTAATATATTTCGAATCCTATGTTCGATATGTAAATATAGCCATATGTAATATGCATATCGAAGGAAACCTTTCGTTTGGTGTGCATTAATTCTAGTTTAAAAGTGAATTTTTTTAGTAAAAGTTAAAAACATTTTATAAAAAAAAATCAAACATTTTTTGAAAAAATTTCAAAAAGTAAAAATTTTGATAAATATTAAAATATACTATATATACTATAAATATTAAAATATTCATATCTGTAGACATAAAATCTATATTTTTATTTAGTAAAAAAAGGCAAAAGTTTTGTTGTATTTAATTTTCTTAGCAGCTATACCATTCTAATATCATCATACCATGTGTTGCACTTAAAATATATCGAACTAACTATAGTCTTAACCTTTCTTGTCACTCTATGTTAACCACAGATCACGTCTCAAATTTCAAAAACAATATAAATGCTTTTTTAACCATAATATTTGTCATTATTTCAAGCAGTTTGGGATTGAAAATCAATAAAATTGTTCCAATTTAAAAAATGTTTGAACGAAAACCAACACACTAAATGTATATAAATGGATTTTTTGAACGCTTTAAGAGAACATACAAGTCTATAGTGCATGCTATTTAAAGACGTTGGTCGACATCATCAAATGTTCTAGTATGATGTGTACAAAAATAAAACACAAATTTTAGAGACTTAAACTAAAAAACAAAATTGTTGTTCTTGTTTCTTGAGGTGTATTTTTGTGGAAATTTTGTTTGTATTAACTCTCAAGATTAGTTTTTGAGAAGCTTTAAAGATGCCGTTTTTTACACATTCATTTTAAGACAACATTTTAATTTTTAATATTAGAATCTTAAATTTTTGCTACTGATAGGTCGGTACCATATAAAGTGTTCTCGTTCCAAGCAATTTCAGGATTAGTTTTACTTTGATAACCCCCACTCTTTCGTTCACAGAAAAATGCCCTAAAGTATGCTACTTTTTTCCAAAATAAATTCTAGTAATATTCGCGAGAGGGATCATTCACCATCAATCGATACAAATAGTAGTCGTATGGGGAATGATCTGTTCTATAATAGTGACCGAGCGCTGTCATGATGGAACGTATATTATGGGCGTTTTTCAGTCAATGTTCGCCTTAGCGCCATTGATATATGGCTTTGATAACGATTTGACTGGTTTGCCGGGATTCATATACGATCTCTTATGCTTCTGGTAATCATAATTGATTTATTTTTATTGCAAGTAATAGGTTAAGTTACGTGGGTTGCTCGCTAGTTAGCGAGTTCACTCGGAGGCCTTGTGGCCCATTACCCTTAGAATTGTCATTTCCTTATGTTGGGAGAATGTTTTCCCTCTTCGTCAAAACCAGCCGGTGTTCCTAATAAAAACGATCATGTTTACTAGTGATGTATCTCTGAGACTATTCAGATCATGAAAAAGAGCTCTACCAAGATAGAGTAGTCTGTGCTCTTGTAAGGCTGGTGTAGAAGATGTTGTACCGATTCCATTTTCTCTTCGTCCAAACAGCTTCTATAGTAGCTATAATGTGGGTAGCCCATATGTTTCGACATAGGTGCAATCATACAGTGCCCAGTAATTATAACAGTTAGAAGCCTAATCGAGTTCTTATTAAGAGACAAGAGAGTCTTAGTCCTATCCGTTGTCAGAGTGGGCCAGAGCACTCTCGCTATTCTACAAATGGTGATATTTGACCACCTGAGTTCCGTCTCACTCAAAGCCCAATCATGTATCAATTTTGATAGGGTATTGCAAGTAATGATTAGAAGCAATGTTTTCATGGCTACAATTCGTATGGTATCCAATTTACCTGTTTTTGGATGAATCTTGCTGTTCCTAAACATTTTGCAATATCAGCTTGATTAGCATCCTTTAATTTGGAAACTCTTGTTGAGTTCTACAACAATTTTCATGGAGTGATGCCGCAAATTCGTGAATCTCAAACTTTTTAGATGATCTTCGCGATATTTGTCTTTCGTGTCAAAATCACCAGTAATGAACCACTAATAAACATACCTCAATCTTTGAAACCTGTGGAACTCATTCATCATAAGCTTCGGCGAGCAATTTCATTTCATTAAAAATTATATAAATTTTTCTTAATATAAAAACAAACATTTAAACATTTCTCTAAAGGCTTTTTAGGCAAAAATTTTAAAGCATTTCAATCTTTAACATGAATAGGAATTCACTAGAAATATACTTTGAAAACTTCAAAAACTTATTTAATTTTAATTTTTTTTTATTTGGCCAAAAAAACAGCATTGGATTAGTAGTATGAAAAATGTCTAAGAATTTTTCTTTTCTGAATTCTAAAAAAATACTTTTTAGTTAGAGAAATGTACTACTTAACTAGCAGTTATTTATATTCTAAAAAGGGAAATTCCAAGAAAATGTCTTGTTGTTCATTTTGTTGTTTTGAGTAAAATATTTCTAATTTACATTTCTTTCAAAAGCAGATGTATAGATTGGCTTATACACAGAGAATTTAAATTGTAAACAATTTTTTTTTTGAATTTAAATAATAAATAAGTTTTTCTAAAGGCTTTCGGAGTCATTTAGTTAAATTTTTTTTTTAAATAATTGTATATATGTAGTGGTGTAATAAATTTGTAAAAAGTGTCTTAATCTTGATAAAATTTAAATAATTTGTAAAGATAATAGGATCTTCTATAGAATTGATTAAATAGTTTTGTATTCAATTTTAAATAAACAATATTTCAACAAATTACTTAGAACTACATAATTTGCTTTTTTGATTTCCGAGTGCGTATGAGTTATAAATAATTCAATAACAACAATCATACGTATAGTTTCATATCGTTAAGATGTCTAAAGGAATGAACAAGATATAAAACAAGTTAAAACTTTATATTAAAGCTAATGTTTAGGTCTTTCCGGCGACATAACAAGTTTTATAAATAAAGCTGACTTTGCACTATTATAACGTTACGAAAAAGGGAGTTTTTTCAAACTTCAATTGAAAAATATCTGAAAATCTGTTACGATTGATAAATTCTATAGTCAGATTTAGTTTCAGCTTAACTTAATCCTGTATAAAAGTTAAATTTGGTCCTTAAATATGACTTTTTATAAAATTTGTCGGCTTATGTTTGCGGGGTTCTAGGCACGTATGAGTTATAATTAATTCAATAACAATCATACGCACCTTACATTGCTATGAGTTTTTATTGCAAACTGTCACAGAAAAATTTGTATTTTATTTAAACTAGAGTGTTTAAAAACTTAATTGAAACTGTAATAACTTAAACAATTTCAAATTTATTTTAAATACAAATTTAGTTTATTTAAATTTAAAAGTTTTGCTTCTGATTGAAGTTTCATTTTCATATATTTAAACAATAATTTAGCTTCTTCTTTTCTATCTTTAATTTATTGTATCATCGACCTACTTAATATCACTTTGATTTCTATCCATTTCCTTGTCAATATCCTTATCAAATACTTTAATAGCAAACCATTTCTTAATATTAGCGTTTAAATGTTTATCATTTTATTTTGGCATATCTCTATAAAATCCCTTTTTATACCTTTTTATATCTCTATGTGTGTGTGTGTGCGTTTGTTATTAGAGTATATTTAATTTAATACAATCTAATAAGAAATAATAATCAAGGGTTCAAAAGGGTTTAATGTCATAATGTGTAAAATATATAATATTCTTAATATTTTTATATTTATGTATATGGGTTAATGTTGTTATTTTGTTATATTTTAGTATTAAACCATATAATAAAAATATTATTTTATGAATTGTTAAACTGTCTAAAATGGCTTTAGTTTAAAACTTTATTAATGTTTAATTAAAATTTTTTATATGATAGATATTTTTAAGTGGAAATTGAAAGAAAATGTTGAAATTTTAAACTCTTTTTTTTAGAGGCTTTTAAATTTTGTTTATTAAGAATAAAATGTTTTGCACGAAAGGTAATTTGTAGCTTTTTACTTAGAGTTATTAAACTAAGATTTTATATCTTAACATAATGTTACTAAGATAATGTTACTATAGTCTTGTTGATGAAAAGCTTTGACTTGTTCAAATTAGGGAACGGAAATAAGTGATTTATGTTGTATGTTTGAAAATCTG